GCGCGCTACATGTGTGCTTCGGAGGCCGGGCAGCCCGGCAGCAGCTCCCCGTTCACCACCGCCTCCGAGACCAGCATCTTGTCTTTGCCGGAATCCAGGCGCTGCTTCTTCAGCATCCTCTGATGGACCAGCGGGACGACGGAGAGCACCAAGCCGCCGATGATGGGGGGCACTCCGGCAAAATAAAAGGCCGCGTCGTAATTCCCAAAATAATCATTGAGGTATCCTGAAAGAGAAGAACAGCGGCGGGGTTAGCCACGTCAGTCTGCCAACCGACTCGTCTCCTCCCTTGAGTGAGAGCTGCAGCTCACTTCAACCACAGGATTTGGGGAGATTTGGGTTTTTAAAATAATCTTTTCTTCCATTGCATTCCTCAGAGTTTTTACGCCCGGGATTAAAGGATGCGCACAGCCAATGCTGTGTAGCGAGGAACCCCAGAAGGAAAGCCTCAGCCATCCCTCCTGTCCAACCACAACAGGACGCAATCAGACACATCCCAAACGATCCCAAACCACAGAATCACAGAATCATTACGGTTGGAAAAGACCTTTAAGGTCATCAAGTCCAACCGTCAACCCAACTCCACCGTGCCCACGAAACCATGTCCTGAAGTCCACACGTTTTTTGAACACCTCCAGTGATGGTGACCCCACCACCTCCCTGGGCAGCCTGTGCCAGTGTTTGACCACTCTCTCCGTACAGAAATTTTTCCGTAAAGAAACGCAAGCTGAGACAGTGTTAAACAACCAAACATTTCCGGTGGCTTTGCTAGCGCCTTGCCGGCCAGGAGGTGAGAGGAAAAGCAGGCAGGGGCTGTTCCTCTGCAGACCGCCTCCGCCTGGCAGCCCTGCTTTGCCTGTGGATATTTTATCTACACGGGGATGTCAGAGGAAAAACACTCTGTTACCAACAATAACCGATCCCTTACAAACCAATGAGGTCCTGCACTGGTGGGTTCGGCAAGTTCTGACACAGCCAGGCACCTTCGGAGAGTAACGCGTTACCATTTATTGGCACTGGAAAACCCCTCTGAGTTTCCTCCTGTGTAGACACTTGCCTGGGGTTTACACCCATGAAACGAGCCCCTTCACCCTGCCCTGTGCCTAGCAGGGGGTCCTGCAGCAGCACCCTAACGGCGAGATGTCTGCCACCCCCACGTTCCTTCACGAGGCTGCTGTTAAACTGAATTTTGCTGCCCGGAGCAGAAAGATCAGAGGTGCTTAACACAGCTTTAGCTTAGCGATTGCTGTTGCTGACGTTCTCCTGCTCAAGGGCCAGCTTTGGCAAAGTGCTTGCTGTTAAGGACGTTGTGGTTATTACTATTCTTAAACACACCCCCAAGCCTTGGGAAGACGGAGGCTCAGGTGTCTGCATCTCTAACTTTGATTCAGTAATCCAGGAGCTGAACTTACCGGTTAGCAATCAGCCCCCAGATATCTAAGATGACTTCTAGCAAACTCTTAGTATTTGCCAATTTTTAGCTCAGCTTCGAACAAAAATCAGTTAATGGTGTGATCTTGGGTCGCTCTCACTGTTCCCCCGCTGGTCACCTTCCACCAGCCTGGAGAAAGGCCCTCAGATGCTACAGGACGTGGCACGGAGTGATGCTACACCCGTGCTTCAACCCCCATGTGACACGGTCAGCCAGAAAATTCAAAACCGTGTGTCTGCTCTCATGCCAAAACATCACCACGAAAGCCGCTACAAGCACCTGCTCCCTCCCAAGAGCTGGGTCCAGGTCCAGCGCCGCAGCACTACCAACCTGCGATCGGCGTACCCGCGGTCATGGGCACGGCCATCAGCCCCATGAGGTACCCTATGGCCTGGGATGCCTGCATGGGCCCCACCAGCTCGAAGGCGATGGGGGCCATGATGGTGGTGAAGAAGCCATCGCAAAGGCCGAGGAAGAGGCAGATGACAATGACGCCCTCGAACCCTCGGCACTGGGGGATCATCATGCACAGGATGCCCAACAGCACGAAGGACGCAACCTGGGGAGACAAAAGCAGGCATGTCATTGGGGTGCAGGACGCGTGGGTGTGGGCAGCAGGAAGTGTCATGAAGATGACATTGAACAGGTCAACAACATCACCCCCTCCTCTGGACCCAGCAATGCCATCCACCCTCTGCTCTCGTCTCGGAGAGGCCCTTAAGAATAACCTTTTAAGAAGCTTTAGGAAGGATTATCTGCTGGATTAGCCGCTAGATTTCAGCAGTGTTTTTGAAAAACCACAAGAAGGTGAGGGGGTGTCCAGCAGCTTGGGAAGAGTCGGGACCACAGACTTTGGTGAACAGGCACTGAGACCTCAGGTGAAGTGTGTAACTTCTCTACGCACCTTTCTGCAACAAATTTTCTTCCCTAACAACGGACAAGTGTGTCAGGTAATGGTCGGTAAAGGATGTGCGATCTGAGGTTGACAGTTTGAACGGGGTGTCAATACTGACGGGGAGACGCTCTACGCTGACCCGCAGCGGTTAGCCAGCAGCTCTGCGAAGAGCCAAGACACAACGTACCTGCAGGTAAATCTTCTTCAGCCCGGGAATGCAGTCGCCAATGCGGCCTGAAACCAAGCGCCCCAGCCCTGACATGGCCCCGAGACAAACCAGGAGGATCCAGTCCTTTTTCGTTTCTTGAAATCGCTTCTCCACGTATTTTACCTAGGATGGAGGGAAGGACACAAGGACACGAACCCTCAGTAAGTTAATCCCTCTCATATCCCAAAAAGGGACAAGACTTCCCGCAGAGGGCTCATGGCTTTGGGGGATGGTTGTGTGACCCTCACGTCTGAACCACGCTGACCTGCACACGCCACCTCCGCCCACCCCAAACCCAGCAGCCCCCTCCTCTCCTGCTACCGATGCTTGTCCTCAGGAGCCGCGGGAAGCGACCGCTCTGCCCGCCCAGGCGCAGAGGAGACATGGAAGCATTAAAAAGCTGTCTCCCACCACCATTCCTCTTTACACGATGTGCCTGTGGCAGTTTCTTAGCTTTGAGGCTTTTGGCGGCTCTGTCCCTACTGCCCATCTCCACCTCCCCACCTCCTCCTCACTTGCACGGAGGAGCCCCTTCAACTCCGGGCAAAGGGACCTCCCTCCCCGTCCAGTCCCAGCCAAGGCTCTCACCAGGTTCATGTAAGGTACAAGGTATCCCAGGACAGCCGTAGCGATCCCAAAGGCCCAAATCCGATAGGTCTTTCTCCGGAAAACCCTCAAGTTGAAATACTTGCGCGTCTGGGACCAGCACTGCTGCCGCATGCTCCGGCTGCCCAGCTTGTCCTGCCCGTCGTGCTGAGAGTCACAAGAAGGTGGCAAGATGGGCCGATAGGTCAGGGACAAGAATATCTGGATGAGCATTAAGGCACTGAGTACTTGGAAAGTATGCGCCAGCCCGATGGCCTTCCCGACCATCTTCAGGAAGAAGGGGAGCGGCACGGAGATGAGGCAGCTGCCGCCGGCCACGATGCAGGGGGAGGGGGCAGCGGCCGCCGGCCACGATGCCGTTGGCCAAGCCAAGGCGGCGCTTGAAGTAGTGACCAAGGATGACCAGCGAGGGCTGGAAGGCGAAGGAGCTGCCACAGCCAAAGAGGATCCCGTACGTGAAATAACGGACTTCCAGAGACCTAGTGGGAAAAACCACGTCGAGGTCGTTACGCCGCACAGAGGTAAGGAAGCCTTTTCCCCCGCGGCCCTGCAAAACCTGGAGCCAGGTCGCACATACTACAGGTGCTACGCAGACGGGCTGGCCTCGAGGAGCTTATTCCCTAGCCAAAGCAAGGATTATCCTCATTTCACAGCTGGCACGTTAAATCTTCAGGAAAATGAAGCCTAGCTGGGGAGTGCCTTCTGCAGGGAGGAGGAGGCAGCAGCCAACCGCCCTCCTTGGGAAGCTGACCCAACTCGAATGGTTTTTAAATTACAGCAAGCAAGATTTTCTAAGGTAGGCAGGGTGGGTTATTTTTAGCTCGAAATCCGTTTTTTTTCCACTGAAAGGACTAATTGAGAACAGTCTGCAGCCAGTGTTTGAAAGCAGAAGGCACCAACCCCACTGGTTATTAGGCACTTAGGAAGGGAACATTGCGTTTCTGCCCAGGCTCCAGGCTGGTTAATTAAGTTCTTCTTCTTTAAGCTACTCTGGGAGCTTCAATTAGACAGTTAACAGATCTCATTTGTACCTTACATTGCTGGCTGCACTCGAGGAGGGAGTGAAGCGGCTGCGCTACAGAACAAGCGGAAAGTCCCGATAGTCCCTTTGGAAGGAGCTATTCCCCAATTGCCAGCCCCGTTTTCCCAACAGAAGCGGCTGAGAAAGGAGCCTAAATTTAGGCGGTGCAAATAACCCGTTGCGTTCCTCTCCAGGCAAAGGATTTTTTTTCTTCATTCTTGTGCAACACACTCAGCTGCGAAAATCTGCCACAAAATACTGCAGGGGAGGAGAGTGCGATGGAAACGTCCGGGCAGCTCACCGGGCCAGCGATGCTGCACGAACGGGGTCTTTACCCCAACACTCGGCACGACTCGAGTGAAATACTGAGCGTCGCTCCTGCAGCGAGGGGGAAGACAGCAGCCCAGCTCTAAGGGAGCAGTTTGCAGTTGAGAAAACATTTACAAGCACATAATTTCTTCCATTACACGCTCGTCTCTTTAGCTAGCCAAGCAGCAAGCGGAACATGCGTGCTGTACCCAACGGCTCAAAGACGAACGACGGTCGTGAAAGGCAATTTCCAGCTACTCCAGAACGAAGCCCCATCAAAACCCCCTCGGCAGGAGCCGGGCGAGCAGCTGGGCCGCGCAGGCTGTCTCTGACCTCCCACGCGCCAGCTCTGGCCCCCTCAGCTGGGTCACACCAGCTTTGGGACCGCGGCTACGCTGACGTGTCGGATACGCGGAGACAAACGCCCCGGTTCCCGTCTGCTCCCCGCTGAGGCTGATGCCCCTGCATGAGCCGTCTTCTCAGCCAGGGTGTCCCACCCCGCTTGCTGGGAAAGGGTGGCATCGTCTCCCGCGGATAAGGAGGTCTCCCACGGCTAACGGCATCTCCTGGGGCTAGGAGGTCTCCTCCGACGGCTGCCTCCCGCTTACAGCTCGCAACGGGAACGGCCCTGGTTCAACCCCGCGGGCAGAGTTCCGGGGAGCTCTCGCTGCAGGACGAACCCGGCAGAAGTTGCGGAGGGGAAGGGGAGGCAGATGAGAAGGGACTCAAACCCCGCTGCAGAACACTTAATGGTGCAGAAGGGG